ATAGATAGGTAGTCCATTCTGTCTTAGTGGCACTATTGCTTTGCTTGGAGCTAATGGATTAAAAATACAAAAGAAAAAAGAGATAGATAGATTACAATAATAATAATAATAATAATAATAATAAGAAGAAGAAGAAGAAGAAGAAGAAGAAGAAGAAGAAAAATGAAATTATGGAAGTAGAAGAGGAATAGGCAAAAACAAATCAGTAGAAAGACATTAAGAAAAAGAAAAATAGAAAAAAGGAAAGAAAGAAAGAAAGAATATGAAAATGTGGAAGAAGAAGAAGAAGAAGAAGAAGAAGAAGAAGAAGAAATAAAAGAAAAAAGTGGATGGCCGAAAAAAGAAAAAGAAGAAAAAGAAAAATAGATAAGAAGAAGTGGAATAAGCGAAAAAGCAGAGGAAAAAGAAATAAAGAAAATGAAAAAAGTAGGCCAAGAAGGAGGTGGAGAAGAAAGAAAGAAAGAAAGAAAGAAAGAAAGAAAGAAATTAGGAAGCGCAGAAAAACAACAATATGCAACTATCTAATCGACCAATAGTTAAATTGGAAGAGACTGAAATAGATAGATAGATAGATAGATAGATAGATAGATAGATGCTCGCAGAATATCGAAAACGTGATATGAATAGTATACACGTTTGCATTTCTTACTCTTCAATGAAATGCCAGAGTTACCTCCCCTTTACGTCTGTGTAGGCGCCTATTCGGTTAAATGAATAATCAGCACTCTCAAGTGTATGTTTGGACAACAAACAGTTTCATGTTTATTTTCTTCTTCGTTTGCTTATAGGCAATTAATCGGTGTCAGCAGAACGTGTACAAAGGACAATCAACCTGATTGGTTCCTAAAAAAGCCGGGAGACTAAGCAGCCTGGCCGAAAAGTCCTGAAAGTTTTAAAAGGTTTCTATGAGTAAAGTGAACTATTTTATTGAACTGGTTATTGTCCTCCCTTAAAAGCGACATTTCAAAGAGAATTTGAAAGATTGAATGAGTGAGGAAAAAAAAACACAGAAAAAAAGGAATTAATGTGAAAAAAGAATTGAAAAAGAAAGATGAAATGCAGCCGAAATAAAGAAATAATGTAGTGATACACAGGTTTTAAAATTTCACATTTTTAAAGCTACTTTTAAATAAATTAAACTCTGTTGATGAGGCTAGTTCTAAAATTGCAACTATTTCGAATTGGTGAGTTTAATATATGTTTTATCTGAAATTTCAGAATAATGTGAAAGTTGTAATAATTACTGAAATACGCATTTACCATATATATATATATATATATATATATGAAGAAATATAGTCTTAAGGTGTGGTATATTTATGGGATAAAGTGCTCAATATCAGAGATAGAGCGTGTGTAAATATAAAAGTGAACATAGAAGTCAACACTTAGAGGCGACAGTCTGTTTCATGATAGATGCAATCGTCAGGCCGCCGATTGCATCTAGCATGTAACAGCCTGTCGCCTCTAAGTGTTGACTTCTATGTTCACTTTGATATATATATATATATATATATATATATACTCTCCCGTCTGTTTCGATGTATGAACATCTGACAGCTTAATTATTATTTATGAAGTTTTGTGCGATAATCTTAAGTGGCACTTAAGACCCGCTAGTGATTTACAAATGAGGTCACATATGGAACAAGAGTGAGGATTTTGGGATGAGATCACTGTTAGATTGGCTGACCTTTTAGACCTTGCACATTGCTTTTGAATATATATATATATATATATATATATATATATATATATATATATATATATATATATCATTTAATTTCCTGGTGCTTCAGATCCCTTTTCCAAGCATAAAAAATGGTTTTAAATTTACGTATTATTTTTATACACTTTTCAGTGGTAGTTTTAAGTTGATGTAAAGTGATGTTGACGCTATATTTATTACAACGTTTCGGCCGTTGTACACTCCGGCCTTCATCAGGTGGATGGAATGTTGAACTGAACTCTTTATTTCGCTCACTGGGTGAGACTGTTCTAGTTCCCCGTGTCACGTTTAATAGATGTCCTCAAGGACACATGGAACAGTGGATAAAGATGTTAGTTAGATCCAGTGACAGGACCCAAAGACTGTGAGTTCAATACCCGGTTAAGGTAGTGGAGAACTTGGAGAGGGGAATTAACAGGAGATAACTGATAACTGATATCCATTAAATATGGCACGTGGAACTAGAACAGTCTACCCCAGCGAGCGAAATAAAGGGTTTAGTTCGACATTCCGACCACATGATAAAGGCCGGAGCGTACAACAGCCGAAACATTATAATAAATATGGTGGCAAAGTTGAGGAGAATAGTCCGAATAATGTAAATAGTGTACATATTACCTCATCTCAGAAATATAGACAGATACTGAAGGGCCGAAACGAAATAAATATGGCAACAAAGATGAGGACAATAGTCCGAATAATGTAAATAGTATACATAATACCTCATCTCAGAAATATAGACAGATATGTTTGGTTCGTTATATTCACTTAGATACAAATATCCTTGTGTAAGAAGTGAATCCACATAATCTCCCCCGGCTATGGGTTAATTAGTAAAATGTGTATCACTATAATTATGTAAAAAAATTCTTACAACCTAAAATTATTTTCTGGCTTTAAATAATTTTGAAAGTGTTGATAAACCGTAAAAAATAAAACAATGAAGTGATTCCTTTTTTATTTTTATTTTTTATTTCGCTGGAATTCTTTTAATGATTTTTACTTTATTCTTTAATGTTATGTTCAATCTACAAATCAACAATTCACCCTTTCATGGAGTATTGCTGCCATGTATAGTCTGGAGCCCCTTCAGTTTGTCTCAAGGTCCTTGATAAAATCAGAAGACGGATATGCAGTGTAATTGGCCCTGATCTGGCATCTCGTCTGCAGCCGCTCCCTCACAGACGTGCCGTTGCCTCCCTCTGTCTTTTTACAAATACTTTCATGGTAATTGCTCCGATGAGCTGCTTTCGCTGGTTCCCAGACTTCATGAATTTAAGCGTTCAACTAGGCTGGCATCTCGCTCTCACCCTTTCACTGTCGAAACTGTTAAATGTAGCCGCCACTTCTACTCAAATAGCTTCATGTCACGCACCTCTCACATGTGGAACTCCCTCCCCTTTTCCTGTTTCCTTGATAGCTATAATCTCCAAATATTCAAATGTAATGTCAATCGACGTTTCCAGATGCCCTGATCAATCCCCTATCCTTCTCTTCATCCTTTCCTCTATCATTCCTCTTTGCTCTCACTCCAACTTTCTGTAACCCCTTGTGTGCTAGTAGCTTCCCGTCTTGCTTGGGGTGGAACGCTTAAAAAAAAAGTTTTTTCCCGTTGCATTCTCCACGGTTTGGAATTCAATGTTTTCCTGCTTTTCGCCCGGATGCCAAGGCAAGAGAGTACACCTGAGCATGCTATTTGCCTATATCTGGGAGGAGAAGAAACATGTTCCCTCATTTTCTAATGCTATTAGTGCAAAAGTGATCACAACTGACTAGCCTGTGATTTTAACTTAGTTCTTCCATTTCACTTTCTGCGCCGATGTACTGCCAACTCATTCGCTTTTACTATATAATAATTCGTATCTTAGAATGCTTGTCTGCTAGGACGGCAAGCAAATCCCTATTGCAGAAGTCTGCTCAGGCGTATTTGCATTTGTTCAACACCCATAGAGTTCACCTGTGGTTCATACTAAAATTATGCTTAATTACAGTTTCTGTGTTGTACTGACCCCTCATGCTGGAAGATCTTGGCCATCGGCTCTAAAATGAGCCTATGTCGCATAACCCCCTGATGATGTGGTTTTAGTCGGTGGCGTCAATCGATAATAAAAGTACGTACTTCTATCGCGGCCGGTGATCGCTGGTTGTTTCCAGTCCAGAAATAGAATAACTTCAGCACAGGTAATTTTAACAACTATTTTATTAACGTTCATGTTCTATCTATCCGGGAGGAGAGGCGTTCCCCCTCACTGGGGAGCCGTTTCAGACACGAAAGTAAACACGTCTACACAGTTTGACGAAGAAGAAGAAGAAGAAGAAGAAGAAGAAGAAGAAGAAGAAGAAGGAGGAGGCACTACTGCCGGTCGAAATTTTTGAGATCTTTCTCTGAAAACAATTTTTTCCGGAAAATAAATTCCTCAAGTCCTCATAACTGTTATCGCTGTTTCCGGTATTAATGGCGGTTTCCTTCCTAACCTTTTGTACGAAGTAGTCAATATTTTGATTAGATTATTTTTATCTCTTTGTGTTACATGCCTTATCCACTTTAATTGTTGCTACATTCACTAGTCCCCAAGTGATGTGTGGTGCCTGATATTTGGTGCAATTCTTTATTTGGGATCATGTAGCGCCAGTCCACAACGTCCGGAAAAAGTTGGTCTCCGCTAAATCCAATAAGCTTCAATGGTTCAAAACCAATTTAACCATTGATCTTAGAAAGGTTTTGCATACAGAAAAACAACGCATATTGTTATGATTTTTCTATAATTTTGATAGCCGCCTATTCGGTCCAACCTGTTTTATTCGTTTTGCATCTTAATAGAGTGACTCTATTTTAGGTAAAAAAGGAGGAATACAGAGATTTGAGAAACGTGGCAAATATTTATTTCGTGATATATGACCAACTTTTACGTACCTATGTATAAAATGATGTTTCTTTTACCTTACACAACCAGATACCCAAACTGATACACCGTACATAATTGATAACACACACGCATACACTAATTTGTATTATATATTAGAATATACAATTCTTATGCAGCTCCGATTTTCAGTGTAATTATCTGCTCGTACTTTGTGGAGCCTATTATAACGCTTTCGCGAGCAGATAGCCATCCGATCTAAAAAGACAATTGCTAAAAGGCTCAATTAATCTAATATTTCAGCGTGTGTATTCGATGCAACTGTAGTGATTCGCTCTCACGCCACCAGGAGGCACTGCGCACTGTTCTGAAGTGTCATATTTTAATGATCCGCTCGTCTTTGCGTGTCAGTGCCGGCAGGTGGCGCTGTCAGTCGCACGCTGTCGACACAAGTCAACATCACCATTAAAAATGGCCAGTAAATTCGGTAAATTGTTAGCGAGAAGAATGAGAAAAGATGAAGAAAAGGAAGAGGTAAAAGAAGAAAGAAAAGAAGGAGAAAAAGAAGAAGAAAAATGAGAAAATAGAATAATTAAACGAATGACAAGAAAAAGAATCAAACTAGAATAGGAAGGAAGAGGAGGAGGAGGAGGAGAAGAAGAAGAAGAAGAAGAAGAAGAAGAAGAAGAAGAAGAAATGATATATGAAATTTGAAGTGAAATATATTGCGAAAAAGAAGGCGATTACTAATAATAAAGATTAATAACAATAAGAAGAAGAAGAAGAAGAAGAAGAAAAATGAAAATAAAGAAGTAAAAGAGCAATAGGCAAAAACAAAACAGTAGAAAGACATTAAGAAAAAGAAAAATAGAAAAAAAGGAAATAAAGAAAGAATATGAAAATGTGGAAGAAGAAGAAGAAGAAGAAGAAGAAGAAGAAGAAGAAGAAGAAGAAGAAGGTAAAACAACAAATGCAAGAAAAAAGTGGCTGGTCGAAAAGAGAAAAAGAAAAAGAAGAAAAAGAAAAATAGATAAGAAGAAGTGGGATAAGTGAAAAAGCAGAGGAAAAAGAAATAAAGAAAATGAAAAATGTAGGCCAAGAAGGAGGTGGAGAAGAAAGAAAGAAAGAAAGAAAGAAAGAAAGAAAGAAAGAAAGAAAGAAAGAAAGAAAGAAAAAAGTATAAGGAAATTAGGAAGCGCAGAAAAACAACAATATGCAACTATCTAATCGACCAATAGTTAAATTGGAAGAGACTGAAATAGATAGATAGATAGATAGATAGATAGATAGATAGATAGATAGATAGATAGATAATGTATAGACTGAAATAGATAGATAGATAGATAGATAGATAGATAATGTATAGACTGAGATAGATAGATAGATAGATAGATAGATAGATAGATAGATAGATAGATAGATAATGTATAGACTGAGATAGATAGATAGATAGATAGATAGATAGATAGATAGATAGATAGATAATGTATAGACTTAGATAGATAGATAGATAGATAGATAGATAGATAGATAGATAGATAGATAGATAGATATGAATAGACTGTGATAGATTTAATTAACCATTCCTTATATATATATATATATATATATATCATAACAGGTGATGAATAATGACTTACATACAACAATGTTCAAAGCGAACGGCAGTGGATTTGACAAGGATATATCTCTACAACCAGCTCCAAATGCTGAACGCCATAAAGTAAGATAATTTGGGGCTGGGTGGGGGGAGGTCGACAGGGTATTAGTCAATTATTCTGGAAAACGCATCCCAATTTCGTGTGCTTTCCATTCAACTACGATCTTCATAAGTTTAAATACAATCTCATCCTCTGTCTATTTTTACAGTAAGTTTGATTCTGCACAAGGCTCGGGAGCCACTCGTGGTAGAGAGCTACGATAAAGGATAGTTTATATGGATAGGAGGGGAAGATAATTGTTGACTCTTGACTTGAACAGGTTAAGATTTTAGTGATCGGGGAAACATCTTCTAAGCAGTCTGTTCCATGGGGTAGTTATTCGCGGGAAGAAGCAGTTTGAGTGAAATTTAATGCTCGCCGATGGAATACGGGGGGAATATGGGTGATGTGCTACTATGAAAGTGACATGGCGGGTCTTAGCCGTGAAGGTCTGACCTGATGGAATCAGCAGATGCGGTTCGTCCGAGCACTTTCCATTTAACGATAGAGCAGTGAGAGACTTCCTACATCCCCCCCCCCTGTGAAGGAGAAGATGGAGGGAGGAAAATAATTCTTCACCAACAAGGACACAGAGACGCTTTCGGACTCTATCAAGACTCGATTTTGAGGTTTAGGCAGTTCTTACCTAAATGTGGTAACAGTACCCCGTTTTCGGTCTGATCTGGCTCTTATAAAAATAGAGGATAACATAAGGAGTCAGGTATTTACTGGAGCGGTACAGGGAGTCGATCATTTTAATTGGATCTTTAGTAATGGTTTCTATATACGTATTGTGCTTGAGGTCAAGTGTTAGTTTCTTGCCACTTTTGTAATGTTAACGAATACTCGGTGTCACTTTCGTAATGCTCGTTGTAGTAGAGACTTTGTAATCGCAGATACAACTATAGTAACGCCGTTGAACAATACTGGTGTCAAACGCCTTCGAATAACATTCGCACTAATATTACTTGCTTGATAATACTCGCTCAAATAGTAACCACCGAATAGAGATCTGAATAGTACTCCGTATAGTGATCAGTATAGAGAAATAGTATAGTGAATAGTATAAAGAATAGTGGTCAGTATAATATTAGAGGATAGACTAGAAATAGCGATCAATCTAGACGTCACGCGACTTCCTAATGCGTTTCCTCTATGGTCATGTGGTCTACTTAATTCACTGGCGATCTAGCGGCAGTGCCACTTTATTCCTATAGAAGCGATCTGAGACCCAATATCCTCTCAAGACACGAGGCCTCCTCGAGGGGACATCAGTTTATCGTGACTGGCGTTAGTTCGGAGTCTGATCAGCGGTGATAGAATGTAACCAACCTTCCCCCCCCCCCATTAGGAAGTTAGTGTTAAATCGGAAGAGAGGTCACCTGCCAATCTGACTTTTAGAGGCGCACCCGTATATCGTTGTATCATTAGCAAAAACATTTACAAATGACCGGAGTATATTCTTAGATCATTTATCTAAATCAAAAAGTGGTTTTGGTCCAAGAACTGACCCATGGGCGACGCATGATTAGACTGCCGGGACCTCAAAGGACTGGCCGTTACTAACAACGTTCAGCGATCTACCTGTTAAGACATATGGCACAGTGGATAAATGCATTAGTTAGATCCAGTGACAAGACCCAAAGAGTGTGAGTTCAATACCTGGTTAAGGCGGTGGAGAACATTCAGAGGGGAATTAACAGGAGATAACTGACATCCGTTAGACATCGAACTAGAACAGTCTACCCGAGTGAGCGAAATAAAGGGTTCAGTTCAACATTCCAACCACCTGAAGAAGGCTGGAGCGTACAAGAACCGAAACGTTGTAATACATATGGCAACAAAGATGAGGACAATAGTCCGAATAATGTAAATAGTGTACATAATAACTCATCTCAGAAATATAGACAGATACTAAAGGGCCAAAATATTGTAATAAATATGGCAACAAAGATGAGGACAATAGTCCGAATAATGTAAATAGTGTACATAATACCTCATCTCAGAAATATAGACAGATACTGAAATATATATATATATATATATATATATATATATATATATATATATATATATATATATATAGATAGATAGATTATTATTATAAAAGCAGTAAAATTAACCTAGCCAACCGAAATGCTCCTCTGTGGCTCAATCGATAAAAACACGTCAGGCTATATGACGGTTCCGTATAGGATACGGGTTCGGTTCCTGTCGGAGGACGCATATTTTCTATGAAAATTACTCGGACATTCAGGTCAGTAAATACTGTTTTTTATAAACAGAGCATTTACTTAAATATTTGTATCTATAAAAAAAAAAGTATGTATAAAGATAGAAAAATGTCTTTAAAATGATTATCGGACTTTGTCCATTTCATTATATATATATATATATATATATATATATATATATGGGCGCCTATCTTTTCTGTACCTCCTCGTATAGTTTCTTTTTTTACTCTCCAGTCTTCTTTTGTGTTAAGAGCCTTTATTACGCGTCGGAATGTTCTCTGTGATCTCAAATATTTAGTGACTAGTTACAAAAAAAAAAGCGTATTTGAAAAAGAAATCGTTCGCGCTATTGTATAATGTTTGAAAGCTGCACACTCAACAGTCTTTCGGTGTTTATCTTCCCATCTTGCACAAACATTTCATTATATACATTTCTCTTTCATCTTTCATATAAACTCTTTAACCTCATTTATTTATTTTTTTATTTTATTTTATTTATTTTTTTACAAGGCTTTGGCGCTAAATATTGTCCTTAATAAAAGGCTACAGCTCTACAAACAAAGTAACATTATTTTACTAGCGTGGATGACTAAAACTATGACCTACGCCTTAATATGTTATTTAATACATTATTCGGACTAACATCCCTATCTGTGTTTTCTCAGCCGTTCTCCTTAATTACCTTTCTTATTGTCTTTATATTTAAAATGAAGTCCTTCATTCCATAATTTATTCAGGCCAATATACTCATCATTGTTGTTTGAATTATTACATTTAAGTAGCCCCCTCAAAAGATTCGTTAAAAAACGAGTATACATAATGAAAAAATGTCCCCAAACTTAATAAAGACTAAGCAATATCGTCAATATTTTAATCTAGGCACCTCCACAGAAGAATGATTTAAAAATATTTTTTTTAAATGAAAAAAATATTTCTTGAAGCTTTTATTTTAGTTTTAATTTCAAGTTAATAGATTAAATTTAATATTTCCCCCAAAAAATACTTTACTGTATTTAAAAAATAATTTAAATTCAATGGAAGGAGTTTTTATTTTGAAATCGCTAAAAATCGACGATTTTATCATCATTTTTAGTCATCTGTCAGCATAATGTAATTCTCTTATTAAAAAATCTTTCAAAATAATCTATACTTTTCTTAAACTTTTTTTGAGGAATAATAGCTGATTGAAAGCATAATTAATCTGATCTGAAACAAATATTATTTACTTTAAGTTTAAAATATCGCATAAATGCATTTTGTATCCCGACAGAAGCTGTTTATTTGAAATTTTGACGTGCTAACATCGTGATGACAGATCCTATGCTTTTCTACGGAGACTTGTAAAACAAGTTTGAAGAAAATAACGTGAGCGCCTTTTATATATAATTTTTAAGTACTCAGTAATCTTTAAAATTTCGGAAAATATTCTACGTAATCTAATATTTCTTTTTGAATGTTAGGTACTTTGGCTTTAAATTTACTGTAGTTATCGCTCATATTTTTTTTTCTGATAACGTTGTGTATGGACATCTGTATTTAAGAAACTGTCCTGTTTATAAACACAGAGATTTTCAAAATTCCTTTTAAAATATTGGGGATCGCTGAATTATACTAAGGTTTTCCATTTACTATTAGTAAATATAGTTTTTACTTAATAACAATATCGCATAACCGTAACAAAGTAATACAGAAACTTTAAAAGATACTTGTAAAATCCATTTGTTGCGGACCGATGTTTGCGTTGAGAGATAAGCACGTGTGTCTCCTGAAATGCCCACAACAAACATGGCAGACTCGGGATGTGAGTTCAGGTAAATAAATGTAAAGAAACATCAAGAACTGATATATATGTACAAACAAACGATAATGTATTGACAACAAAGGGTTACAAGTGGCAAAGACAATGATGTATGTAATAAAAGAATGCGAAAAATCTTTGGTTCAAATTATATGAAGTGAGTGAATGTGCGTGCGTACGTACGTTCGTGTATGTATGTATTGTTCATGCGTTTCCCAAAAAGGGAACGCGTTTTTCCGTGAGAGACTTACATATTGATCCAAAGCATCAGAAGAATAAGAGAGTGATGAAGAATTGTCGCCGAGTATTTATAGTGTCGGAAAAGCTATCCTAGGAGCAGTTTCGAAAATTAAGAGGAGGTAACTCGACCGATTCATCATCTAAATTTTCTTTTTTTATACAATCATTTAAAAGATTTTGTCTAATTAAATAGTATCTTAGTTTTATTGCATTTTTTTTTTTGTTTTCCCATTCAAAGCAAATTTTCGGTAATTGAGGGTAGTGTTTTATTTGATGTTACAGATTTTCTGAGGAATTTTTTGTAGAAATAATATAAGAATTAAGAGCTACAAAATTGAATTTCTCGAAATTTCATAAAATTAGATAAACCGGGGATAATGTATTCAGTGGACAACAAAACAAAAAGAATTGGTCTTGCCATTCTAATACTTTTGAAGGGAGCAGTATATCAATATTGATATTATTCTTGTTTTTTTTTTTTTTTTTTGGTTTCTGATGTATACTCATTTCTTTCCGGGTCCCGACCAGAGATCTAAGGTCAGAAATGTTATTTCTATAATCTTAAGGATTGTTAATATTAATAACTATTGTTATTTCATGATAGATAGATAGATAGATAGATAGATAGATAGATAGATATGAACAGAAGTTAGATTGACAGAGATATACATAGAGATAAACAGATTTTACATAGATAGACATATAGATAAACAGGATGATATGAATAGATTTTAGATAGAGATATAGAGAGATATGAACATATTTTAGACAGATAGATAGATAGATAGATAGATAGATAGGTACGAACATAGATACGAACATAGATAGATAGATAGATAGATAGATAGATAGATAGATAGATAGATAGACATAACAAATGATATATATATATTCATTCAATATGCGTGCGTTTGTGCATGGCCTTTTGACTGAATGTGTGAATGTGTCTGTGTGCGTCTGTGTGTGTCGTGATTTTTAAGCCACACTAACAACGGATGACTTTGTAGAAAAATGTTTTTTCCTAATCTAATCGATATTTAGTAATTTTTATATTATTATTATTATTATTATTATTATTATCATTATTATTATTATTTTGTGTTTTTTTGTTTTTCTTGAATAATGTCCACCTATTATATTTCCGCAATTCTTGTAGCAACGTGATCCTTGCTAACAATGGTATGGCTCAGTCGCTTGGAACCCATCCTAATCCGGCTTTATGAAATCGGGATCAAATTGAGCCGCTCCTCATTGGATTTTGAGTCATAAATCGACATGCAACGTCATTTAGCAACGACCGATGGGATTTGCTCGGGGCCATATTTTAATAGCTTTTTCGCTTAAGGAGACATTGTGATGTTGTTCTCTGTCTTTTTAATTCGTTTGATATTAATACTTTTCTTGGCTGAATTTTATGTGAGCCTTCACTTTTTAGTATGAACAGAGACAACTAATTTTCGTTACACACTCACGCACACTCACACACACATGTATCTATGTAGGTATATATATATATATATATATATACACACACATATATATGTACATATATGCAAATGCGCACAAATATTGATGCATATATATGCATACATACATATATATATATATACATATATATATATACATATATATATATATATATATATATTCTGATCACACTCAAAATATATATATATAATTATGATATATATATATATATATATATGTGTGTGTGTGTGTGTGTGTGTACGTATGTATGTATGTAAAATTAACCAAAAGCTTGAAACACAGGGTCACAAACTCATATACATACAACTGAATATATATATATATATATATATATATATATATATATATTTTTATGTTATATAAAGTACATATATATTATATATATGATAAATAGTATATTATATATATAATAAATAGTACTAACAACATTTACCTGTCTGAATATCCGAGAAATTTTATGGAAAATATGCGTCCTCCGACAGGAATCGAACCTGTATCCTACACGAAACCGCATGGTAATGTATGGAATGGTAATGGTAATGGTAATAATACTTGTTTACATATACAAAAACATTCGGCATTCATTGGCCAAGCAGTCAGCAATTCCAATTAAAAAAACTTTTTCATGACAACAAATTTCTCAAGTCCAGTAGCTGTTATCGCTCTTTCCAGTATAGATGGAGGCTACCTTCCTAACCTTATCAGGAAAATAGGTTTCTCAAGTCCAGTAGCTGTTATCGCTCTTCCTAGTATAGATGGAGGCTACCTTCCTAATCTTTTCAGGAAAATAGGTTTCTTAAGTCCAGTAGCTGTTATCCCTCTTTCCAATATAGATGGAGGCTACCTTCCTAACCTTTTCAAGAAAATAGGTTTCTCCTGTCCAGTAGCTGTTATCGCTCTTTCCTGTATAGATGGAGTCTACCTTCCTAACCTTTTCAGGAAAATAGGTTTCTCATGCCCAGTAGCTGTTATCGCTCTTTCCAGTATAGATGGAGGCTACCTTCCTAACCTTTTCAGGAAAATAGGTTTCTCAAGTCCAGTAGCTGTTATCGCTCTTTCCAGTATAGATGGAGGCTACCTTCCTAACATTTTCAGGAAAATAGGTTTCTCAAGTCCAGTAGCTGTTATCGCTCTTTCCAGTATAGATGTAGGCTACCTTCCTAACCTCTTCAGAAAAATAGGTTTCTCAAGTCCAGTAGCTGTTATCGCTCTTTCCAGTATAGATGAAGGCTACCTTCCTAACCTTTTCAGGAAAATAGGTTTCTCATGTCCAGTAGCTGTTATCGCTCTTTCCTGTATAGATGGAGGCTACCTTCCTAACCTTTTCAGGAAAATAGATTTATCAAGTCCAGTAGCCGTTATCGCTCTTTCCAGTATAGATGGAGGCTACCTTCCTAACCTTATCAGGAGAATATGTTTCTCCTGTCCAGTAGATGTTATCGCTCCTTCCTGTATTAATGGATGTTTACTTCCCGCTCTTCTTTTAAGTAATGTCGAATGATTTTTATTTTGAAATATTACATTTCATGCGTCACTGACAATCGCAGACAGAGTTAATCTGAATCACGACCCTTTCATTGATTAAAATTTACTTATACACCACAAGAACATATTCATAGCCATTCAAACCAACATATACCACAATACCGCACATTCACAAAGATCCTACTAAAACACCCATGACATAAAAATATATACAATTGTTTTTTTTTTATTTTAAATATTGTGGAATGTTAAAAAGTTGATGATGTCATTAATTGCTCTTTAAGTTACACGTGCTATCCATTTTTGCTGTTGCTGCTGTTGGTAGTCCTCAAGTAATGTGGTTCCTGTAGACAGCTGACAGTTTATATAATTCTGAACGGGTTTGGCACCATGCATGACATCCATATGAAAGTCTCATTTAAAGAGGGATGATCTTTGCCAAGGCCCTAAGGTTTCATTCACTCAAAGCCTTTTTTCAACATTGATCTTAGGAAGCGGTTGTATACAGCTGAGAGTTTACATATTTCTGAACGGGTTTGGCACCATGCATGACATCCATATGAAAGTCTCGTTCAAAGAGGGATGATGTTTGCCAAGGCCGTCAGGTTTCATTCACTCAAAGCCCTTTTTTCAACATTGATCTTAGGAAGCGGTTGTATACAGCTGAGAGTTTACATATTTCTGAACGGGTTTGGCATCATTCATGGCATCCATATAAACGTCTCTATCTGACGAGGCTATTGAAGAACATGACTCGAGGTTTCAGGTTGACGCTTTGGTTTTTTAGCAGTTTGCGTTGTTGGGCGAAACTTACCTCTGGCGCAGCATATTCTATGTGCAATTTCCTTTTCTTCTATACTTAATTTGTTATAAGTGATCTATACATGACTGTATCTAAATTGCTTAGTATATTACTAATTCCACATCTTGATTTATTATGAAGATTTAAGAGTAGGTGCCATCACTGCTTTCAATCCAATTTCAGATCCTGGTTTCTGTTTTAGAAAGGTTTATCTTGTGCCCCATTTCTTGGAACACTTGATAGACGATGCTGCGTCATCAGCATACCCCCCTCATTGGCCTCGGGAGGGGAAGCAGGATTTTTTTTGTCTTCTATTGTTAGACTCCTTTGGTATACGGTATGGCATTTTTAAATGGTCAGCGCCCATCACGTCACATCTATGTTTGTAAATGCACAGGGCCTTGTCAAAGACGAAATTAAATAGACTGGGGCTCTCATATACTCCTTCTGATGAGGTCTGAAATGTTTCCGTATTGGTGTCTTCATCAAACATCTAAGATTCTATAGATCAGTTCCTCTATTCAGTGGATTCGGAGCTTGGAAGGCAGTTTCTAATGGATAAGAAGTCTCCATATGCTGCTGTTAGATCTACAAACAGATATACAGTTTTCTATTAGAAAGTTAAGCAATTTAATGAACTTTTTTCATGACATATATGCCATCGTTGTATCTCTTACCAGAAAAACAAACTGGGTATTTGTCGTAACCAAGTAAATGGTTAAGAAATAACAAAACAAGAGGTTGCTGATAAATCGTGTATTGAACAGTAAATACAACAGAAGTGTGTTACCTGACGTGGGAGTGTGTGTCGGTTGACCAGCGTTCAGTCTATATCACTGTTTCCCCACGAGGCTTACTTTCCTACTAATTATATAGTAAGTGGAAGAGTCCACAATAGACTCATTAGAGGGAGGACACCACAACAGTTGTGACGAATTGACTTTTGTATCTCTCTCTCTCTCTCTCTCTCTCTCTCTCTCTCCACATACACACACACACACACACATATATATATATATATATATATATATATATATATATATATATATATATATCAGGGGACGCCACTCAGAAGTTACTCATCTCCTCTTTCTTCCTTATAATAAGAAGGGTGAGGAACGATTGACGAGGACAAAATCCTTCGGGTCAGAGCCACCCAGAGGACATGTCAGCTTCACGCTCAGAGACCCACACTGGCTCTTTATCGTGGTGTGCCGTCCAAACAAAAATATCAGACGTTCATGCGATGTATACTTAAGAAATGGTCCTTAAAAGCATGATCGTTTTAGCTCTTGAATATATGTTTCAATTGAGCACTGTTGAAAGATAGGCTAATTCTATAAACAATAGCCACCTGCGTTAATACAAACCTCTTCAGTAAAATAAATTGGAGCACTCCAGCTGATTGGCATGTGTTTACACTCGTAAAATCAATACACTAGATTTAGCTGTTTCTCTCTGTCGAATGAAGATAGCTCAGTTTTGGAAACTCTGACTGACACCAAATCGATTAGGTTTCGATCCGGGCTTGAGGCATTCAGATGTCTAGTCGCTTTGGGAAGCTGTCATGCGAATGATATATATATATATATATATATATATATATATATATAGAGGATTGTTATACATGCATTTTTAATTTCTTGTCGGTTTTCTGCGACACACAACATCCTATATGACTTGTTGATGCTACAGCCTTGAGGGTGATGCAATCTGTTGAAAAAATTACGATTAAGACAAGTTTTTTCTTTCTTGAAGTGTATTACATTTTTTGGTCGGATTCTCTCTCTCTCTCTCTCTCTCTCTCTCTCTCTATATATATATATATATATATATATATATATATATATATATATATATATATATCGTTTATTCGAAAATTATAACATAAAAAGGACAATAATTCGAATAATGTAAATAGTGTACATAATACCTCATCTCAGAAATATAGGCAGATACTGAAAGGCCAAAACGTTGTAATAAATATGGCAACAAAGATGAGGACAATAGTCCGAATAATGTAAATAGTATACATAATACCTCATCTCAGAAATATAGACAGATACTGAAAGGCCGAAACGTTGTAATAAATATGGCGAGAAAGATGAGGACAATAGTCCGAATAATGTAAATAATGTACATAATACCTGATCTCAGAAATATAGACAAATAATTTCTTGGTAGCCTTAGAAAATTGATTAAGAAAATTATATTAAGAAATTAATCCGTGAACTTGAAAGTATCGAAACGAAGACTAATCGACATATGTCTAAAGTATTTAACTAAACCTGTTTCAATGAACATACACGCAACATATATATATATATATATATATATATATATATATATATATATATATATATATTGGACAACTAAGTTCTCGTCATTGGGTTGGCAACTAAGTTCTCGCCGTTTTTTTATTTGAATTTTTTTAAAGGTTTAATAAGAAATGACAACTAATTAATCAATAATGTATTCTCTTTTGTTGTTTACAACTTTTTTTCCAACGTTCAAAATTTTCAGTAGCTCGTTGGTAGAAATCACCCTGTTTCGACTTGAAAAATTCATCCAACCAAGCTCTCAATTCTACATGATTATTGAACGAATCTCCGTGTATAGCATTGGAAAGAGATCGAAAGAGGTTGGAATCCATCGTTGCCAAATGGGGAGTGTACGTAGGGTGTGGCAGCCCTTCCCACCCATGCGTTTGAATGGTTTCCTTGGTTATATTAGCGATATGAGGGTGGGTGTTGTCGTGCAGCAAAAGAACTTTCATGCTGCCGATTAGGTCTCCTCTCTTGAATCGCCGTGTTGAGTCGTCGTTCCATCTGTTGAACAGAGAGTTCCGCGTTGACCGTTTGGTTTCGTTCAAGCAATTCATATTGGATAATCCTTTACGAGTCCCACCATATGCACAACATCGTTTTACGCGGATGAAGATCTTACTTCACGTGCGGTGTCATTCCTTGCGCTTTTTCATATTGATGGACAGGCATCATTTTTCGTCGTCAGGTACGATTCGGTAAATAAATCGTTGCTTGTGTCTATGAGTTGAGCGGTGACGAGCAAGCAAACCAGCGGAGATTATGGCGCGATGATTTTGTTGTTGTCACTTAAAACATGCAGAACCCATACTTCAAATTCTAAAACTTTCCCATCGAGTGAAGATGCTTCTCTATAGCTGTGTGGGAACATTCCATTTTCTCTGCCAGTTCCCTTGTCATTTGACGAGAATTTTCGTGCAAATGTTGGTTTAATCGCTCTTCATTGAACTCAACTGGACGGCCAGAACGAGGTGCGTCTTTGACGTCAAAATTTCCATTTTTGAACTTGGCATACGAATCACAAGCGGCTCTTTCAGTTATAGCATCCTCTCCATACACAGAACAAATGTCGCGAGCAGCTTTTGCGGCCTTAGAACCTTGATTAAAAGCAAAAAGAAGGAGGGGTCGAAAATGCACATTTTTTCTTAAGATGACATTACATTTTAATGATCAGAAATTAACTTAAATTAACTCGAAAAACAAACAAAATAGATTACAAAATGATTCCAAAATAGAATTCTCGAAAAAAATGGATTCCAAAATTTAAAGACACAATAGATTCCAAAATTTAAAATAACCGCGGGACTTAGTTGCCAAACCAATATATATATATATATATATATATATATATATATATATATATATATATATATATCAAGAGCTAAATTATGTTATTCACATACAGTACTGTTTCGCTATATATATATATATATATTATTTATTATATATATATATATATATGTTATTCGCAGACAGTACTATATATATATATATATATATATATATATATAGAAACAGTACTTCTGCGAATAACATAATTTAGCTCTTGAAAATATATTTTCAATTGAGCACTGTTGAATGACAAGCTAATTCTAAAAACAACGGTCCCCTGCGTAAATGCGAAGCTCTTCAGTAAAATGAATGGAGCACTATGGCTGCTTGGATTTTGTTTACTCACTATGTCGAGTGAAGATAGCTCATTGGTAGAGACTCTGGCTGAAACCTATTCGGTTGCGTTGCAATTTTGGCTTGAGGCATTCGGTTGTCTATTTGCACTGAAGAGCTGCGAAACAGTACTATCTGCAAAGGATATATATATATATATATATATATATGTATGTGTGTGTGTGTGTGTGTGTGTGTGTGTGTGTGTGTGTGTGTGTGTGTGTGTGTGCAAATATATAAAAAAATAGGAAAGGACCGTTAGGTTAATAATCCGAAGTTCTTAAGTACTTTCGTTTTTATTTTTTTAAAAAAGAGTGCTCAATACATGAGTAGAGCCTAAATTATAATTATTGTTTTATTTAAAAACAAATATAAGATTTGACATCGGCATAAAAATAAACCTAAAAGAAAAAAATTTTCCCGATGTTACATTCAACCTAAGAAAAGGTCCATATCAGCCATATAGAAAACGACTTTATATACACACACCTTACAACCAACTACCAACAATAATCCAACAGATACGACAATTAATTAATCGCAGGTTATCTGATAAGTCTTTTAATGAAACCATCTTCAATTGAGCCTAAAAAAGATTATTAAGGTCCCCAAACGACCATCCGCAGGTTTTAAATTCAGGGTTGTCCTACTTTGCCATCCAACGCTATAGAACCCAGCCTATCATGCTATTTACCCTTAGCTGGGAGGAAGAAGAACAGGAATCATGCCTTTCTCAATGGTATTAGCACGTAAGTGAATGTAATGGATTCGACTGGAATTCGAACTCGTTCCTCCGATTCCTCAACCAGTCAGTCAGTCAGTCATGTGCCATGTGTGATACACGATAAGGCGATCATGTATCTTTCGATACATGACTGACGAGGCAGATTTCTTTTTACTCAGTAGGCTGCCATTTCTTTCTGCGGTAGACCAGTTGCCAGCCAAGGCTAAAGAACCTAGTCTGTCTTGTTATTTACCCATAGCTGGAGGGAGAAGAAGAGGATTCACACCTTTCCCAAGGATATTAGCACGTAAGTGAATGTAGTGGATTAGACTGGAATTCGAACTCGGCTCTCCGATTCCTCAATCCGAGCCGCTATCCATTACTCATCCTTTTATATCTTTTATATAAATTTGCAAGTATGTTTTTTTCAGGTTGTGGAGCCAGTCTATAATTGTTTTTGCGTTTTTCTATTGATTTACTGCAAACTTCGTCCTCAGTAGGGAATTAATTCTTTCTAGAATTATTTTACTTTTTTTTACCGAGTTCACTCGTAGTTGAATTTATGAGTCTACATGTTTTGAAGTTTTATTTGTGGTCTTTTCATGTAATGAATGCTTGTGATTTAGAACTGCAATTTAGTCAGTCGTCTTAGGCTAATGTTGGCGCGCTTTTTAGCTTCCATATTAATATTGTATTCTGTAGGTTTGGGTGCATTTCTGTATGTTTTAGTTATGTTGTCCTTGAGTAGTTTGTGTTTTCGGGGGCTGAGTCCATATAAATTTATAGTTTTGTACGCTTTGATAAATACGTTTGGTGAATTGTTTATTTTAGATAAATCTCCTTTTAGTTTTTTTATGGAAAGCATCTAATTACTTACGAAATTTTATGATTCTTAATATGCCTATGACATAGATAGATAGATAGATAGATAGATAGATAGATAGATAGATGAACAGATTGTGATAGATAGCTAGCTAGATAGATAGCTAGCTAGATAGATAGATAGATAAGAACGGACAAAGCTACCTAGCTAGCTAGTTAGCTAGCTAGACAGATAGATAGATGAAGGTAAATTGTTGATAGATAGATAGATAGATAGATAGATAGATAGATAGATAGATAGATAGATAGATAGATAGATAGATAGATATGAACAGAATTAGATACATAGATTCATAGATGAGAATGGACTACGCTAGATAGATAGATAGATAGATAGATAGATAGATAGATAGATAGATGAACAGATTGTGATAGATAGATAGATAGATAGATAGATAGATAGATAGATAGATAGATAGATAAGAACGGACAAAGCTACCTAGTAGCTAGTTAGCTAGCTAGACAGATAGATAGATGAAGGTAAATTGGGCTAGATAGATAGATAGATAGATAGATAGATAGATAGATAGATAGATAGATATGAACAGAATTAGATACATAGATACATAGATGAGAACGGACTACGATAGATAGATAGATAGATAGATAGATAGATAGATAGATAGATAGATAGAGGAACAGATTTCGAAAATTTTAACTTGAAATGTCTCGCCTGTAATCCGGCTTCACCTTAATTGTTTTGTTTTTTTTGTTTTTGTTGTTGTTGTTTTTTTGTTTTATTTATGTATTTGACAAACTATTATCTACATGACCGAAACAAAATTGTTAATCGGCTTCTCCCTTAATTGTAAACTTAACTTTGTTGTTGAAGAAATTCTCTCTTAATTATGTTCACTCGTTATTTTCCTTTAGCGTTTAAATGTTTCTCATTTATTTTTTTAGTAGTAATTCCAGTCGAATACATTCACTTACGTGCTAATACCCTTGGGAAAGGTATGAATTCTCTCCTTCTCCTCCTCTCCCACCGGCTTTGGGTAAATTTCAGGACAGACCGGATTCTATAGCCTTGGTTGGCAACTAGTCTCCTGCAGAAAGAAATGGCAACCAACTGCTGGAAAAAAAATCTGTCTCAGTCATGTATCGAAAGATACATGATCGCCTAAGCGTGTATCACTCATGGCACATAACTGACTGAGATAGATAGATAGATAGATAGATAGATGTATATATATATATATATATATATATATATATATATATATATATATATATAAGTATGTGTATGCCGTGACAATATTTCGCTGCACACTTATGAATCACTAAGACTCGGTTCAGAAACGCTGAACTAGGCTGAGAAAACTGTCCTGGACTGATTGCAATATGTCGATATTTTTCTACAGTTCAGGCTCCCGATATCCGCCCCATATTTGAGTACTGGTTGAATAAGTGTAGTGTAAAGGGATTTTACACCACACAACGTTTGCTTATACGTATTCTTTAAAAAAACGATGCTTAGTCCTTTCTTCTCGCTTTCCCTCGCTACTTTCTGTCATCAACTCATAAGAACAGGATCCCCACATTCTTTTTGAAAGCTACCCTTGTTGCATTCATAACATTGGATAAAGTAGATAGTTTCCTTTCAAACCTTTGGCTTTTCGTGGTGTGGAAAAAAGACATAGTGATTATATCATCACTTCCACTTCTAATAACATAGGCAACGCCATTTTGGAACTTCTTATTACCATTATATAAACGGTGCAGTTTTTTTTGTAATTTAGTCTAGTGCTGTTCTTATGATTATGTAGCGCCAGTTTATATAAACCTTTCTAAAACAGAAACTGCGTATAGGAATTGGAATAAAAGCAGTGTTGTCATCCATCATAAAAATTCAGAATGTGGAATTAGTAAATACTTATATAGTGCAACCCTTGATTTTCTTTCGCATGAATTTTAACCCCACCAAAAACAATTACCTGTGTATAGTGCGAGCCCCTATTTTTACGTAAAAAAAAACTGATCATAAAAACTCACCCTATATTCAAGTATGTAAAGTACCTCGGTGTATGGATCATCTATAACAAACTTAGTATAGAAGAAAAGGAAATTCAAGGTAGAATGTGCTGCGTCAGAGGTAGTTTTGCCCAACACCGCAGACTGCTACAAAACCAAAAGACCAACCTGATAACTCGAGTCATGTTCTTAAATAGCCTCGTCAAATCGAAACTTTCATATGGATATTATGTATGGCGCCAAACCCGTTCAGAAATATCTAAATACATTCTCTTTCTAAGATCAATGGAGTTGTAGTAATAATGAGTATGTCCCCAGTCACATAAATACAGTAGTAAATACTGTATGTTGGTCTGCAGTTGAAGATATATTGTAGAATTCACTTGACTCTCTTCTAGCAGTTGACTACGTTTTCTACGGGCCATCTTATATGTGTTTTTCTTGTTCAAAGTATTATCGTTCATTACCAAATTTCGTGTGATTATTCTATACAGTAACCTTCCATAGGTTACAACAAATGGTTAAAATGGCTTTGAGTGAGTGAAGGCAGAGGATTTTTGGCAAAAACTATCCTGGAGAATCAAAAACAAAGAATTTGACCAAATATCAAAAACTGCATTAGTTGAGGACTACCAGCAGCGGCAACAACTAAAATGGCTAATCAAATTGTTCACATCTGCATCCAACCGCTTTCTAAGATCAATGGTGAAAAAATGGCTTTCAGCTAGTAAAGCCTGAGTTTCTTGTCAGCAACCACCCTCCTTTGAATCTTATGGACTGGCGCTACATAATCATAAAGAACTGTATCAAATAAGAGAATCCATATCACTTGAGGACTATCACCAGCAGCAACAACTAAAATGAATAGCACATGTAACTCAAAGAGAAAATAGCAATATAATCTAGAGGTTGACATTCCATACTACTTCAAATAAAAGGCTAGGAAGGAAACACCCATTAATACTAAGAACCGTCATATGGCCTGACGTGCTATACCGTTTAACTACAGAGGAGGCGTCTGTTTAGCCAGGACGAATTACTGTTTTTAAACTACAATTTCCTATGATTTTCACTCGAACGCTCATATCTGCTCGAAGCGTATCTTAATTAAACCTTGCAAAGAAGACTATCCTGGAGAAGAATCGCAAACAAAGAATTTGACCAAATAACAGAAACTGCATTACCTGAGGAATACCAACAGCGACAACAACTAAAATGACCAATCAAATTGTTCACATCTGCATCCAACCGCTTTCTAAGATCAATGGTGAAAAAATGGCTTTCAGCTATTAAAGCCGAATGTTCTTGTCAGAAATCGTCCTCCTTTGAATCTTATAGACTGGCGCTACAAAATCACAAAGAATCCACATCACTTCAGGACTACCACCAGCAGCAACAACTAAACTGGATAGCACATGTAACTCGAAGAAGTTGACATTCCACACAACTTCAAATAAAAAGCTAGGAAGGAAATCCCCATCAGTACTATGGAAAGAGTGATAACAGTTACTGAACTTGGGAAACATGTTTTCTTGAACAATTGTTTCAAGAGAAAGATTTTATAAATTACAATCGAAAGAAATGCTGCCTGTTCGGTCAGTGAATGCCAAATGTTTCCTTATAGCGGAACGGCTATTACCATTTTCCATTTATCATCGTGTCTGATGAGAAATAGCGTTCTCTAAGATTAATCGGATTAATTCTTTTGAAGCCGTTTTTAATCATTGATCTGAGATAAACGATGTGCCAAGTGATAGTTTAGACATTCCTGAATGTCACAACTACATTTATGAATTTTGTATAAGGTATCGCCTTTTCACTTCCAGTGCGAGGATATGGGGAAAAAACAATAAAACATTATTTACACATCTTATGTCTGGCACAAGGTCAATATAATAGGAGCAATTAAATTAATCATCAAAGTGAGCAAAATGTTTTTTTTCTGTCTTTTGAAATCCGTTTTTGAAATTCTAGTCTCAATTAGTAAATACAAACGTTGACAGCTGACGGTGGCGGCAAAAGCAGTGAGGAGACGTTTTGTCAAAATACCTAATGTTTGTGTTGTGATCTCGCGATCACGAGAAATAAAAATTGTGTAGTTATCTCACGATCACGAGTAATAAAAAAAATAATTTTCCATAATTCTCTAGTTAAAAAAAAATAATAAATTAAACCACCGTACTGGCGGGAAATTTAGAATTTGGCCTGTCTTTTCAGCAACCTCTCACCATGACAGCACATGAAGATGGACCTCTCCGGAAGTGAAGACTAAAGACAAATTTCACTCAAATATTATTTTCTCACATTGAATATGGCTTTTTAATAATAAACTTATGAGAAGAAAATTATTCATCCATTCACCAAGATAACGCAAATATCAGAACATTTAATAAACACATTACAAGAACTTTATATATATATATATATATATATATATATATATATATATATATATATATATATATATATATATACCAAAACAACACAACGTTCTTATAATTGATCCTTTGATACATATGCATAAATGTCAGACTTTGTTGTTGTGATGTATATCTGTATATTTTGCTAACAATAAAAACAGGGTCATACAAGGCTCATAATAAAACACACACACACATGTGTGCGTGCGTGCGTGTGCGTATATATATATATATATATATATATATATATATATATATATATATATATATTGATCTCGCGATCATGTGAAATAAAAGAATACGAATTTCCCATGATTCCTTAGCGGAAAAAGGAAACCACTTCCTGGCGCGAAATTTAGAATTTTGTCTCTCTTTTTTCTTTTCTTCTTTTTTTTTTTTTTTTTTTTCTCTCACAAAGAAAGCTGTTAAAAATGGGCCTTCTCCGGGAACAAAAACTAAAGATAAGTTTTACTCAAATGTTACTTCCTCATATTAAATATGACTTTTTAATATCTGTCTATATTTCTAAGATGAGGTATTATGTACACTATTTACATTATCCGGACTATTGCCTCATCTTTGTCGCCATATTTATTACAACTTCCGCCATTGTACGCTCCGGCCTTCTTCAGGTGGTTGGAATGTCGAAGTGAACCCTTTATTTCGCTCACTGGAGTAGACTGTTCTAGTTCCACGTGCCATGTTTAATGAATGTCAGTTATCAGTTATCTCCTGTTAATTCCCCCTCTCCAAGTCCACTCTTTTGGACACTTTTCTCTTCCACTCCATTATTACTGGATAAAAAGTAGTGCCAGAGAAAAGCGATAATAACAACAAAATTGCAATATGAGTTCTGGTAAAAAAAAATGCAATGATAACAGCAAAACAATTGAGCA